GAGCTCGTGTCTGAGGCCGTGAACCGTAAGCTGCTGCTGGCACACGCAGCATAGCTGATTCTCTGGCCCAGCTCTCGTGCTTCCTTATGAATCACCTCTCTTTCAGGGTTCTATCGGATTTCCTGGCTTTCCTGGTGCGAACGGAGAGAAGGGCGGCAGGGTAAGGACAGCCTGGCCTCCGGTCGGGTGGCTTGCTCTACTGCCTTGGTATTCAACGGGTGCATTTTCTGGCACGTCCTGTTTGCTCTCACCCACTTTGCTGCCCAGACCGCCTTTCCAGATGGCTGACCTTAAGCCCGTGGCCTTCAGCACCAAGCGCTGGAGACTCCCCGCACACGGGGCTGGGTGGTGGTGGGCTGCAGGGCAGCGGCGGGAGGGGAGGGAATGCTTTCTGACCAACACCGCGACCCCGACAGCTCCTCAGGCCGTGAGCGAAACCCGAGTCTTTCAACCTGAGGGCCTTTCCTCCGGGCGAATTTTTAAAGGAAGGGAAGGAGAAAAAAGGAGTGTGTTGCCTACCCTGCCGGTCCCAATTCAGGAAGCTCTTCCCCCTCGTCATTCCCAAGCTGCCGTTGCCCCAGGGCACCTGCCCGGTGCCGGATGCTGTGGTTCACTCCGTTGTCACCATGGACAGTGGCGTTCTGAAGGGCTGGGCTGAGGAAGCCACGCCCCCCACGCCGCCCTGACTGCCCCCTGGTCCAGGCCTTCTGTCGGGGAAATTACAGGACGCTCTCTGAGCATTGCTGCCCGGGACGCAGGATCGAGGGGGTCCTCTTGGTCGTTCAGTTCTGAGCTGGTTGTCCACAGGCATGTGGGGGCAGAGGGGCCGGGTTGCGAGACGTGTGCAGGGCATACCTTGGGATGGGGGGGGGGGGACCCCCAGACCTCGGAGGAAGGACTGCCGCTTTTGCGGGAACTGGAACAGGCCCGGCCCATTCCCCTGCGCCCACGCTGTTGCTCCTGGCACAGGAGGGCTGCGTCTTCCCAGAGAGACACCTGCCCCGATCTGTCCTCACCGCGTCTGAGCAGAGACGGTGAGCTCTCCTGAAAAACGGAGAGAGACCTCAAGCCAACCCAACCCGTGTAAACAGACGTGTACGTGCCCGATGCCTGAGACAGATAGAAAACGGGGAACTGCCCTCAGTGCGAGGAGACGGCGTGAACACAGGGACACTGTCGTCATCTGGAGCTGGACCTGACCTCCATGCATATCTACCTGTTTACCTGCACGTACATCCTGTCTGTGTCTATACCTCTGTGAGCGTGTCTGTCTGGCTCTTCCTTGTCTGTCGCTGTCCGTGTATCCATCCGCCTCCCTACCTGTCTATCTGACCTCCAGAGAGAGTCTGACGGACGCCTTTGGGGAAAGCTGCCCTCTGGAATACTCACAGAGGCCGCTGTGAAGGGTGGGCCAGGGTCTGGGAAGCGTGGGGGTGATAAGGGAGTGGCTTCTGTGCTGGTGGCGGCCTCGTGACCTTTGACACCAGCTCGCGGTGAGACTCTCCTAGAGGGGTCGCGATGTTCGGCATTTGGTCGTGTGATTTGGCCACAGCCCCTGTCCGTGGAGGAGCCCGCTGGGGCCAGGGATCAAGGCCCCGTTGGGATGGGTCGCGTGGGGCCGTGGAGGCCTGGCCGGCGCCCTAGGGCCAGCACTCTGGCCCAAGCCCCGCTCCTCTCTCCCTGCCCCTGTAGAGCTACTCAACTTCCCACCCCTGAGCTCAGAAGGGCAGAGAGATGCCCGGGTACCCCCCCCCCC